CGTCCAGCCAGGATCCGCCAGAGCCAACCAGCCAGGATCCGCCATTGAGTCAGGTGCTGCCCCTTAGTCTGGTGCTGCCCCTTAGTCTGGTGCTGCCCCTTAGTCCGGTGCTGCCCCTTAGTCCGGTGCTGCCCCTTAGTCCGGTGCTGCCTCTTAGTCCGGTGCTGCCCCTTAAACCGGTGGGGGTCATTTGGAGGAACCTACGTAAGCGGGTAGTGACTATGGTGGGGTGGTGGTCTAGGCCGGAGCCAGAACCGCCACCGAGGAGGTATGCCCGCCCAGCCCTCCCCTGTTTGGGGGTTTTGAGGCGCGGTCGCAGTCCGCGCCTTTAGGGGGGGGTACTGTCACACCCTGGTTCTGGGACTCATTATGTTGAGCCAGGGTGTGTGCAGTCTATGTGGTTTTGTTCTATGTTGGGTGTCAAAGTGTTGTATTTCTAGGTTTGGTCAATGACTCCCAATCGGAGGTAACGAGTGTCAGCTGTCGGCTCGTTATCTCTGATTGGGAGCCATATTTATTTCTGTATGTTTTCCTGTGGGGTTTGTGGGTTATTGTTCCGTGTTTCAGTCGTTGTACTGTGGACTTCACGAGTCGTCTTTTGTTTTGTATTTTACGTGCTTTACTCTAATTAAAGTCATGTTCGTTCAACGCGCTGCGCTTTGGTCTCCTTCACTCCTAGACGATCGTGACAAGGGGAAACTAGGAGCCTCTCTCTTCCATCTACCCAAGACGCTGTCTTTCCTTTCTTTTCCTTTTGTTTTATTCCACATTACTGTCATCTATAATATACTGTATGCAACAATTTCAATGCATTGAATTCCATTCCATTTCCCGAACAAAGGCAGACCCTACCTTCTTCAGTTCGGTACCTCTGAAACAGTGACAGAAATGAATAATCACCACAGTAAAAAAATGGAGAGGCAGAATATCAACGGGCTAATATGGATAGATTGCTCAGGGAATTAGGATTAGTCACTGGTTGGATGTGGTGATGTCCAGAACCAGAGTGGGCCGGGCCAGGCCGGGATCTTGGCCAAAGCCACTGTGACCCAGTACATCAGCTCTGGCCCCAGCAGAATGGCCATAATGACAAACACATGGCCTGGCCATAAACAGAGCTGAAGACCAAGAGACAAAATATATTTTACATTGTGTGTGCTTGTTTGTGTGTGTGTCTGTGTGTGTGTGTGTGTGTGTGTGTGTGTGTGTGTGTGTGTGTGTGTGTGTGTCTCCAGATCCAGTATGATTTTTGACCTGGACACATTAGCCCCTCTCTCCTTCATGACTGGTAAAATAACTTAGAGTCAAAGATGGTAAGAAGAAGGATAATAACTGGAGGTGTTGTGTGTAGTTCTGAAAACTCATGCTGCAACTTTCATTTTTCAGATCTTGAGATTTGAGTCTAGAGGTTGAGAGAAAAGTACCATTCATGCACACAGTAGACAGTCTGGACTGGTATGAAATCCACCACTGTCGACAAATCAAAATACTTTAAATAGATATTTAGTATTACAGGACTCAGTCTAACCCATATACTGTTATTCTCTGTCAATAATCCCACATTTCTCCACCAGCTATTGTGCAATGACATCATTTTGACCAAAGTTTTCTAATGAAAGCCAATGCTTTAGCGCCGTCCAGTGGTTTTATTGGGAAACTCAGTCTGATCCCATCTCCTTATCAGTGCAGCTGTGGACACTGCTATATATGAATGTGTATCACATAATTTCTTAATCTCTCCATTAAAATGTATGTAGATAATTCAGGGTACTGATGTAACCAGTATAAACCCATATAAATTGTTCTCTGTGTGTGTCTGCTTGCGTGTATGTGTGTTATTGAAGTGAGAATGTGTGTATGTTATAGAAGAGAGGGTGTTGCTGATCCCAGCTAACACAACTGCCCAACGCCATAAAAAAGCTTTCACAATTTATAACTAAACAGAATAGTATATCATGCTGTAGTAGTTCTGCATTAGCTTCACAGAAATTCCTCCTGGGGAATTTACATAAGTTCTCTCAGACCACCACAAGGGGGTGGTATGGTCATGGTTTCCCAAAATGGAAAAGGCCACTAGGTGAATGTCATTCAAGGTCACAATTGGCCCTCAGTTTCATCTGAGTACAAGCAACATTAGTGGAATGTAGCCAAAAGTCTCACTCAAGAAATAACTAAATGACAATGGGCTTTGCAGCGATGTATGATTAGCATGGATAAAACAAAGACGATATGGTGATGGTCACTTTACCCTTACCTACATCAAATGTAATTTGATTTGATTTGTTGTAGGCATGAACTGATGGTACTCCTAATGACCTTTGAAAATGTATCCATTAAATAACAAATGGTGCTCTTTGACTTTTTGATTTTAGTAATAATAAAGACAAATGCTTGTGTTTAACCTTCGTGAGCTGGTTGGGAGAGGCTTTAATTTACTGTCAATAGTCATATCATCTTATGACATATGTTATGTCATGTTTATGACAGTCCTATGACGCTGTTATGATGTACAATTCAAATGAAATGTTAAGATTTTTGTTAGGACAAAAACATGACATTTCAAAGGGACATTGCACTAACATAGGAGAATTGTTCATGCAACTGAGAAAATGTATCCAGACATTGCAAAGGGACTAAGAACATTGATGTATCAGGCCACCATGAAGGTACCAATCACACATTCTAACAGTTAATTCCACTGAAGGACATTGATTATTATTGTCTTTACTCATAAAATGTGAAACTTAGCTCATAGATGTGAGCTTGATGGAGTGCTCTGTTCCATTAGGGAAGAATAGTGAGGCTCTGTATAGGCAGCTGCAGTGGTTGTGCTACTACCACTCACTCACACACTGATCTGCTCTGATCCTGTCTATGAAATTGTGTAAGAAATAAGTATTTGAGTTGTCCACACCACAGGGGGACTGGGACCAAATATCGGCTCAGGCATTTCTAACACACAGGCCCATTTTGTTCTTTGAGGCCCCAACACCGGCCCGTTTTTTTCCCTTGAGGCCCCCATTATTAGCCAGATAATTATAATTTTGCGCAAAAAACCCATGTTAGACATGCCCACTAGGCTAAAAATGGACCAGCCCATCTGGCATTTGCCCAAAGTGCCAGATGGCTAGTCCGTCCCTACACTACGCACACACACACACACAGTGTCTCACCCCCTATTGGTCGGCATCTCTCCACCCCGCCGCTGAAGTCTCTGAGGGGCTGCTGCAGCACTGTGCTCCAGGGGAGCCACTGGAGGGAGGCTTTTTTGCTTACTTCTATTTTTGGTCCGGATATCTCTAAGCACAGGACCACAGTCTCTCGCTTCCCCCCCCCCATTTCCTACACACTGGTTACTAGTATAGTTCTACCCAAATGATCCTTTCTGGGCAGATGAGGAAACACATTCTAGCAGTGTAGAGAGGACTAGGCAATATGATACCATAGACACAAAGCCTACTAGAATGTGAGCAAGGAGCAAGGGTAGGCTAAGAACCACCCATAAATCCTGTTCTTCCTGCATGGCCCAGAGGCAGTGACCAAGTGTTCACCCAACCATAGAGTTAGGCAGGCAGGCCATGGTTGTAGCTCCCTTCCCCCATCCTCCATAATAGGAGTTTGGCAGCAGCCTCCTCCCAAGTGTGCAAGGCATAGACCAGACCAGAGTGGTTTAATCTGAACCCAGAGACCTCGGTTAGACATATTTCCTTCATTGCTGCCATGTTTGTCAGTACTACACTCACACTAGGACTTTACAGTAAGATATCCTGAGGAAAGTCTACTCCTTTAGCCTACTGGCATATTTCAGTTGTTGTATACTGCATTAGATCTAGCGATACACTGACCACAGTAGGAGAACACTACAGAAACACAGTTCACCAAGGCTGCATGTCATATAATATAATGTTAACCCAAAGTAATGTATTCAAAGCCAATGCTGAAACCAGTGCATACCTGTAATACTGTACTTAGGTGTGGCCAGAGGAACATTCTTGTTAAATTGAATACTGTAAAAAATGCATCTTGTATGAGAATTATGTGTACCTGTCAGCTCAGGTACATGAAAGTAGGCTAAACAATACATCAGCTAATAGTTAAGAGTGCCAGGTAAAACATCAATTGACTTTACACAAATACTCCCCTCTGAGTGAAGAATAGGGACTGCCCACATTCCAACAATATAAAAGGGATGGACTAAATTCCCCAAATAGCCTATGGGACTTCAGTTTCGTGTAGTAACCCGTTAGAGGAAACATGTTTATGAATGAATGAGCTCATCATTAGGCTGACTGAACTATTATAATAGTATATAACTGTTTGAGATATATCCAGTAGGCTACATAGAGGGGTATGTCGTGTAGAAACACATGCTTCATCATCAGACATTTAGGCTACCTAAATAATATCATGGAGACCTATCATTTACTGCGCATTACTGCGTGCGTAATAACAGCCTACAAATACGCAATGTTATCACTCAGTGAGTGTTCTGTAAATTGATTGTTTATTCATGTAGGCTAGAAATTCAACATTCTTCATTCATTATACAATAAAAACAAACTGTTTATTTAGAAATAGGACATATGTATAGGCATAAACTATATCATGCACTCTTTTCCTTTCCTCCGTGTCCCCGGAGGTGGGTATCCTGCTATTGATAGTGGCGAATGCCAGCGGGCATTACAACAGCAAGCGGCCATCTGCCAGCCTAGCGAACTAGCAACCCCACCAGCTGCAGTCGCAAAACGCCCTACAAAGCAGGACATGCATGCAGCTTCTGACGTCTGCGGCCACACTGCGCTACAAAGCGTAGAAAACCCAAGAGCGGAAACAATGAGATTCAAGCTTATAGAAACCACATGGTTTAAAGACCAGCAAGTTTTACGAAGACGTCTCTAAGTGCATTTCGGCTCATATTGAATTGAAGGTTAGATTTGAGGATTATTTCCCCACGAAAAAATAAATACAAGACTCATGCAGGGACAGTTCTATACCCCGACATGGCGGCAAGAAAAAAGAGAGAGCTTTTTACTATTTTGGAAACTAGCGCGGACACAGAAACTACCACGGTCTCCGAGAGTGAAGATTCTCCGCTTAATCTTTCAGTCGATGTAAAGTGGTTTGAAATTCCTTTCAGAAAGCCAGACTCGGACGAGGAGGAAGACGAAGTACAGGAGGACGGCGAGGAGGGGGAGAATGGATTCAAAAGCACAGCAGCAACGGAGGAGACTGCAGACGCAGTCAGTTACATCGCGGAAGGAGGCTGCAATATTATTTTGGTCACTGGCAATGGAATCAAGCACGAGGAGGAGGAGGAGTACGCGAAGGAGTGCTATTATTCTACCTCCAACAACTGCTCTGACACCACGTCAAACGACTCGGATATTGATTTCTCCGATTTGGAGGAGGAGGAGCACACGAGTTTTTTCAGCTTTGATGATGACTTGGATGAAGACTGCACTTCTCCCGACTTCTGGGGCGAACCTGATCAGGTAATTTCAATAGAGCCATTCTCCGCTGTCAGTGGCCCTCAGCATTCGCTGGGGGCCGATGCTGACACTCGTGACTATTTCCGGTTACTCTTTCCAGATTCTCTTTTTGAACACATGGTAGAACAAACAAACAGTTACGCCCTCTATCGGCAAAGGAGGAGTGGAAAGTCAGACCCCCACTGGCATCCCACTGACCTGAGAGAGATGAAAGCTTACATAGGACTGAACATTCTCATGGGCATCAACCAGCTTCCTGATGCTGACATGTACTGGGCCAGTGACATTTTCATAGGCAATGCAGGCTTTAAAAAGACTATGACAGCTAGGCGCTTTGAGAAACTCACCCAAAACCTCCATCTATGTGACCGTGAGTCAGAGCCTGTGCGTGGCGAGCGAGGGTATGATGGCCTCTACAAAATACGTGCTCTGCTGGATGTCGTTGAGAACACCATGTGGGACTCGTATACGCCCAACCGCTGCCTGACTATCGACCAGGGAACCGTAGCTGTGAAAGGTAGTTTCTCCCCGACCCAGTACATGCCCTCCAAGCCCCTAAAGAAAGGACTCAAATTGTGGATGCTGTGTGATTCCCGGTCAGGCTACTGCCACCGTGCCAGGATCTATGTGGGCAAGGCCAGTGAGGAGGCGGCAGTGGCTGCCCTGGGCTACAGAGTGGTGATGTCCCTGGTGAGGGGTTTGGAGGGGAAGCACCACCACCTCTTCATGGACAGCTTCTTCACCTCTGTGCCCCTCATGCAGAGGCTCCTCCGGGACGGCCTCTACGCCTGCGGCCCCACCCAGCCCAGTCGCCGTGGTTACCCTGAGGTCCTCCGCCCGTGCAACGTTGGCAAGCTGTCGCCGGGCGAGTTTTACCAGTGCCAGCGTGGCAACCTTGTCGCCACGGTGACCCGGGACACCAAGGTGGTCAGCTGTCTGTCTTCCAACTCGGCGCCGGGGATTGTGGGTATCAGCCCGGGCAGGCAGCAGCAGCGTGAGTGGGAGGTGGATAGTGATGGCGGAGGAGGAGTGTCTTTTGGGGTTCCACACCCCCTCCCCCTGCTACTGTACCAGGAGAACATGAGAGGGGTGGACCTGTGTGACCAGCTGAGGGAGTGTTACCAGGTGGGGCGCCCCTGCAAGAAGTGGTGGCGCTACTTCCTGTGGTTCTACGTCAACCTCTGCATCGTCAACGCCTACGTCATCCTACGGGAGAGCCGCGGGGGCGCCCCTCCGGCCGGCTGCAACGGGAAACAGTTCACCCAGCGTCACTTCCGCGTCCGCCTGGCACAGCAGCTCATCGGGGACTACCAGGGGGCGAGGGGCATGGAGCGGGCGGCACGTAAACGCCACGCAGACTCACCCATTGAGTACGGGCACCGACTGGACCGCATGTCTGAGCGCTCCCGACGCTGCAGGAACTGCACGAACAAGGGGCTGCGACATGAGAGCGTGTTTGGTTGCAAGATATGCAACGTTCACCTGTGCAGGGGAGGGTGCTTCTCAGAGTTCCATAAATAAGTCTGGATAGTGGTTTGTATCTTTGTGTCAACCAACTTTAACTTGTGTCAAAAAACAACGTTTTTTATATGCTAAGATTTGTAAATCCAAAGGTTACCATGACAGGTGCACATTATAGTTACACTTTATTCAATGTAGAAGTAGACTAGTCACAAAGTCGTAGGATAGAAGAAGTATTATCGCACGAATGACTAGAGAAAATAAACTGTAATAGTTCATTTATGTTAGTATAGAATCTTTTTGGCTCATTGCCTTTCATAACACTGACAAAAAATGCCTTGTGTCAGTTTTTATACCATGAAAATAGTATGTTTTTATATGAAAATGAGACAAAAAAACCAGTGAAGACATTTTCTGCACTTACATCAACAAAATGTTTACTGTGGGAAGTTTATCTCTGCTTTTCCAAAAGAAATGTGTCCTGAAGATGTTCCTTTTATTGTTTTACACAGTTCTTTCCTCATGACTAAAACCTCTTGTTGGTAAATAAAAAGAAAGAAATGGACTTAAAGGCTTAAAGGACAATCAGCAGTTGAAACAATAACAAAGCATTCTCTCCGCCCTGTTTGGGTAAAAAGCTGAGGAATGGGCTCTTCCACGCTCCAATTCAAGGACTGACCATCCATGATATAACAATTATAGTTTTAACCATGATGCTGTATAGAGTTTGTTTACATTTACTTTGTTTACAAACATTGCAGTAAAATAAGCTTATAGTTTAACTAAGCTCATGAGGCATTTATATTCTTCAAGAATCAATGGTATATATCATACATTTTGAAGTCAAAATAATTATGTCAGTCAAATTAACAGTCAAATATTAAGCCTTAGATAATTACTGCAAGAATACATTTGACCATTTCCCGCTGGGGCCACCCATATGTAAAATGTATGCATGCATGACTGTAAGTTGCTTTGGATAAAAGCTTCTGCTTAATGGCATATTATTAAATCTGATCACAGGTTAAAGGCATTACGGCTTTTAAAGGCAATTTCCGATTGAGCTGACATGCAACATGCAGTGAATGCGTGAACATTGCCTTTAAAAGATGCAATAACCTGCGATTTGGATTGAATATATATTTTTTACATTAAATTAGTTAGGCCTATATACTCTGTATTTACATCAAATGGATTTCTACTTCTTCACTAGAAATTCCCCCAACCCAACACACACATACACACACACATGAAAAGTGGTTTCCAGACCTTCAAGGGGACACAGCTTGGAGCAATTATGGGGCAAAAAAGCCTCTGTGTATTTCCTAGCCAGCGGACACACTGTTGCCATTTCACAGGCTCCCCAACCACACGACTACAGAACAACACAACCATCTGGGAACAGAGTAGCCTACCCTGGGTCCCAGGTCAGCCCAAACCTATGCTTGTCAGTGAAACGGGTTTGAGTGGGGAGGAAAGGTAACGTACAGACAGTATCAGTTGCAGAGGTTGGTTAAAGCACATGCAGTATCAGTCAAATATTAATCCTCAGATAATTACTGCAAGAATTAGTTTGACAATTTTTAGCAAATCGAGGTTATAATCTCAATGACTATTGTTTATTTTTGCCAAGGCCATATACCATGGGTTCTCAAACATTTTAGGGCCAGGGACCCCTTTTGTGATAGCAAATTCATCAGGTACTCCCTCATAACCAAAACACAAAAGTGTGATAAAAAAAAAAGCATACAAACCAAGTCTGGGAAGGAACATTTTAAAGGCCTGCCTCTTGGCATCGGAGAGAAAAAAAATCTATTTTCAAGCTAATTTCCTGCAATTCTACAGATTCTGTCATGTGGGAGAGAGATTTGTTGTTGTTGCAGCTTTAAAGCTAATATCCTGCTATTCTATTAAATCTATTACACCCTCTAAACTTATTCCACGGATCCCAAAATGCATTTTAATCTGTTGTTTTTAGTAATATATATTTTTTTTATTATACTTTTTTATTTAATTTGAGCTCTGACCCCACTTTGAGAATCCCTGCCATAAACTACTTCTCTTTGAAATAGCTTTGGCTAAAGCTACAGTACAGTCAGTTGAAGCCTGTGTGCAGGGCTGGCTCTAGCCTTTTGGGAGCCCTAAACAGATTTGGTTGGGGTGGCAAAACATTTTGTGGCCCCCCTCTTGACAGCGGAGAGAAGAATTTTAACTTTTTAAAGTTAATTTCCTGCAATTTTACTCATTTTGCCATGGGACAGAGAGAAACATTTTCAGTTTTACAGCAAATTTCCTGCAATTCTACACGTTTTGCCATGGGGTGCGCCCCACATGAAAAATAACAATAGTGTATACTATGGTAGGAATACTATAGGATTCACTGTAATGTTTTTGCAGACTTTACTGTAGTATTCACTGTAGTATACTTAGACAATAAGGCCCGAGGTGGTGTGGTAAATGGCCAATATACCACGGCTAAGGGCTGTTCTTTTGCGTCATGCCTGGATACAGTCCTTAGCCGTGGTATATTGGCCATATACTATAAACCCCCGAGATGCCTTATTGCTTTTGTAAACTGGTTACCAACGTAATTAGAGCAGTAAAAATAAATGTTTTGTCATACATATGGTATATGGTCTGATATACCACGGCTGTCAGCCAATCAGCATTCAGGGCTCGAACGACCCAGTTTAAAATGTAGTATACTGTATTATACTGTAGTATTTACTGTAGTAAATATAAATACTGTAGTAAAAAAAAAGAGTAGCATAAACTATAGTAATTACTGTATTCCCTTTGCGGATTGTAGTATACTGTAGTATTTACTGTAATGTGTTTGCTGACTGTAGTATGGTATACTGTATTATTTACTGTAGTATTTTTATGGACTGTAGTATACTGTAGTATTTACAGATTGCACAAACTGAGACATGAGGGAGGGGAATGGGCAGGGTACAGTGAGGGAAAAAATATTTCATCCCCTGCTGATTTTGTATGTTTGCCCACTGACAAAGAAATGATCAGTCTATAATTTTAATGGTAGGTTTATTTGAACAGTGAGAGACAGAATAACAACAAAAAAATCCAGAAAAACGCATGTCAAAAATGTTATAAATTGATTTGCATTTTAATGAGGGAAATAAGTATTTGACCCCCTCTCAATCAGAAAGATTTCTGGCTCCCAGGTGTCTTTTATACAGGTAACGAGCTGAGATTAGGAGCACACTCTTAAAGGGAGTGCTCCTAATCTCAGCTTGTTACCTGTATAAAAGACACCTGTCCACAGAAGCAATCAATCAATCAGATTCCAAACTCGCCACTATGGCCAAGATCAAAGAGCTCTCCAAGGATGTCTGGGACAAGATTGTAGACCTACACAAGGCTGGAATGGGCTACAAGACCATCGCCAAGCAGCTTGGTGAGAAGGTGACAACAGTTGATGCGATTATTCGCAAATGGAAGAAACACAAAATAACTGTCCATCTCCCTCAGCCTGGGGCTCCATGCAAGATCTCACCTTGTGGAGTTGCAATGATCATGAGAACGGTGAGGAATCAGCCCAGAACTACACGGGAGGATCTTGTCAATGATCTCAAGGCAGCTGGGACCATAGTCACCAAGAAAACAATTGGTAACACACTACGCCGTGAAGGACTGAAATCCTGCAGCGCCCGCAAGGTCCCCCTGCTCAAGAAAGCACATATACAGGCCCGTCTGAAGTTTGCCAATGAACATCTGAATGATTCAGAGGAGACCTGGGTGAAAGTGTTGTGGTCAGATGAGACCAAAATCGAGCTCTTTGGCATCAACTCAACTCGCCGTGTTTGGAGGAGGAGGAATGCTGCCTATGACCCCAAGAACACCATCCCCACCGTCAAACATGGAGGTGGAAACATTATGCTTTGGGGGTGTTTTTCTGCTAAGGGGACAGGACAACTTCACCGCATCAAAGGGACGATGGACGGGGCCATGTACCGTCAAATCTTGGGTGAGAATCTCCTTCCCTCAGCCAGGGCATTGAAAATGGGTCGTGGATGGGTATTCCAGCATGACAATGACCCAAAACACACGGCCAAGGCAACAAAGGAGTGGCTCAAGAAGTAGCACATTAAGGTCCTGGAGTGGCCTAGCCAGTCTCCAGACCTTAATCCCATAGAAAATCTGTGGAGGGAGCTGAAGGTTCGAGTTGCCTCGAAACCTTAATGACTTGGAGAAAATCTGCAAAGAGGAGTGGGACAAAATCCCTCCTGAGATGTGTGCAAACCTGGTGGCCAACTACAAGAAACGTCTGGCCAACAAGGGTTTTGCCACCAAGTACTAAGTCATGTTTTGCAGAGGGGTCAAATACTTATTTCCCTCATTAAAATGCAAATCAATTTATAACATTTTTGACATGTGTTTTTCTGGATTTTGTTGTTGTTATTCTGTCTCTCACTGTTCAAATAAACCTACCATTAAAATTATAGACTGATCATGTCTTTGTCAGTGGGCAAACGTACAAAATCAGCAGGGGATCAAATACTTTTTTCCCTCACTGTATATGTAAATTAAATACTGTAGTATTGACTATAGTTAAAAAAAGTGTTTTTGCGGACTGTAGTATTTACTACAGTTTTCTTGTGTGGATAATACTGTAGTATTTACTATAGTGTTCTACAGTATACTACACAATTCTATACTGAGCACTACACATGATCGAGGAATACTACAGTGTGTGATATAGTATTCTACAGTATACTACAGTTTACTACAGAATTCTATAGTAAGTACTGTAGTATAGTAAACTGTAGTATTTCTATGTGGGTGGAGATCAACTTTTGCAGTTTTAAAGCTAATTTCCTGAAATTCTACACATTTTGCCATGACTTATGCAGTGTTAAAATGATATCTGAGTGAGAGTGGCTAACAAAATCAATGGGGGCCCCCTGGAGGTCAGGACCCCTGGGCATGTGCCCTTCATACCCGGTCAGTAATTCAGCCATGATTACTACAAGTTTAGATAGCTAGCTAGGCTAATTTACCAATCATTTTATTTTTTTGTAGTGAGTGACTGTCATTGA